GTAGGGTCTGCGGGGCGCCGGGTGAGGGCTGCGCATCCCAGGCAGTGACCCCAGAACAGAGATGACAGCTGGTCTCTACCCCGGACACCCCGCGCCTGGCGAGTGGGTGCGCAGGACGGGCTTTGAGTCGAGAGCGGCGGGGGCAACCCCCGGGCCCCCACACAACCCGGGCCTTTGTGAGTGCCCGCGCCCCATCCCGGGCCCAGGTCCCCACTGCCCAGCCCAGCGCCCCCCTCCCAGTGCAGAACCGGCAACCTCCCCGCGCCGGTTTCCCCCGCCCGCCCGGTCCCCTCAGTCCGCTCCCCAGCCGTGCCTTCCAGCGGGACTCCCCCACCAGCGCCTCTCTCCTGCGCCTCTGCTGCCCCCCACCTCCCGGGGCCCCCCAGCCTCCCCCTGCCCGCCGGTCCCCCACCTCCCTCTGCCTTCATTAGCATAGCAGCTGCTTGCCGAGCAGGGACCCGCGCGGAGGAAAGGGCAGAGGCCTCGAGAATGAATGGGGGCCATGGCTTTGGAGGGGGCAGGAGAAGAAAGACAGACAGACGCGCGCGCGGAGGACGGCTCGACGTACAGCCAAGCAGAAGAATGCGCCCGACGACGACGGAGGGGAGGGGAGTGCTGGAGGGGGAGCGGGGAGCCGGGCCACAGAGGCGTGTGTGTAGTGGGAGGTGGGGGAGGGTGGCCTCCAGAGACCCCAAGCCCCAGGAGGAGGCTGCGCTGGAGGCCTCAGGGAGGAGCTGTCTGGGAGGTTCCCAGACCTCCCACTGCCCCCTCTCGCCCAGGCCCTCAGGACCTGGGCCCAGGCTTTGTTCCCCAGCTGCCCGGTGTCTGGCCCCTCTTCCTCCTTCCCTCCTAGGTGGACAGCCGCCTCTTTGAGCTGCCAGCCTGCCTATGTGGGCCCTGCGCTGAGCCCCCAGACCTTTGGGGGTGGGAGCCAGAGGGCAGCCCCTTCCCTCTGCTTCTCCTACCCCCCCTCCCTGGTCTGGCCTCCAAATCCTGCCCTCCCTCCTCTGGAAGGCTGTCCTGGCTCCCACGCCTCTTGACTTTAGACATCACTTTCTGGCTGACCATTTTCCTGCATTTCCTGGTCTCTCTCTGGCATCCATTCCAACAGTAAACACTTCCTGTCTGGCTGGGGTCAGGTCAGAGAGACAGACAGTGGGACAGGAGCCGCCATCACTCCTGGTTGGGGGTGGTGGGGGAGGCCCTACCCTTGTCCGTCTGGTCCGTCTCCCCTTCTCCTTGGCAAGCACCCCAGGACTTCCCAGCAGCCCAGCCCCTGCCAACGGGACCCCTCCGCCCTGGGTGTCCTCAGTGCTCCTGGCTGGGACCCGCACTTGGCCTCCACAGCGGACCTGTGGATCCTGGGAGCCACACAGAGAGGTCAGCTCTGACTTCTTTCTTATGCTGGCCACAGAGGCTGGAGAGGAGGCTTCTGCCCCTGAAGGGCCACCTGGGGAGGGTATCCCAGGTGACACCATTGCCCGGTTGGCACTGGTTCCTGAGCACAGACGTTCTGGGCAGAGAAGCTGCCCTGCCTGGCTTGCTCATTTGTTCACAGCTCTGACCCCAGACGGTGGAAGGAGGGATGTGGTTGTCGTGTGCGTCTGTGTCCTGGGGCCACCACCAGTGAAAGGGCCGCGAACCGCCCCTGAATACGTGTCTTTGGCACCCCAGGGTCCCTCACCAGCAGCCAGGGCCCAGGCTGGGGGGCGGGGGCGTCTGTGCACAGAACAGCACCTAGGGAAGAAAGGCCCCCAAACCCCACCAGGCCTCCTCCACAGCTGTGGGGCTGAGCGGGGCCTGGCCTCCTTTTTGTCCGTGCTGGAGAGAAAACGATTGCTCTGTGAGCAGCACAAAGCCTTTCTCAGTCAAATGCGTCTCGCAGAGGGAGGACTTTCGGGAACCACGGACTGGCAGACAGTCTCCCAGGGTGGCGGCCCGTGCCTGGGAGGTGTCCCAGTGCTCCTGCTCCACCGGGCCTGGGAACCAGACCCCTCCCTGGCAGCTGAGGCTGGGAGCGTTAGCTGCGGGTTCTGAGCCGGGTTCCTCCATCTCTCGTGTGCGACAGTGCCTTCGAGGGAGCCGGAGGGCCGCCACCCAGAGTGCCCGGCCTGAATGCGTTCTCCAGAACGCCCCGCAAAGCCCACGTTCTCGCAGCGACTCCCCCTTTCGAGGCCTGGGAGGCCTGGCAGGCCTGGCACCCTCCGTGCACTCTGCCCGCCAGTGCAGCGGGCACCGCCTCCCCTGGGAGCTGGTTTGCATCGGAGATTCCCCTCCCCTCTGCGGGTGTCCGAGGCCAGTCTCCTGGCCAGTGGAGGGGACCGCAAATGCCTATCTCACCCGCAGGAGAACGAGCTCAGAAAGCCCTGGGGCCAGAACAGAGCAGGGTGTGCAGAGGAGGACCTGGAAGGCACAGCCCCCGAAGCTGCCAGTGTGGGAAGGGCAGTGTATCTGCGGGACCGGGACCGAGCACCGGCTGACAGGAAGCTGACGCCCTTTGGCTGCTGTAGAGGACTCTGAGGTATCCGGCTCTCCCTCCTCGGGATCCACTGCTGACCTCCCCTGCACTCCGTTCTCATAAGGCCCCAGGGCCCTGGGGGCATCCCAGGTCTGTGCGCCTAGAGGCTCTGCTCATCCTGTAGGCGCGAGGAGCAGACTCCCAGCTCTGCGCTCCTCTCGCACACCCAGGCAAACGGTCTACCCTGGAGCCTGTGCTCCCGGGGACAGGCTGGCGTCCCCAGCGCCCAGCGGAGAGAACAAACAGGACTCTCAGTGGTCAGGAGGGAACAGCGAGGATGTTCCCCAGATTTAAGAAACACCCCTTCTGTGCAGCCCATGGTCCAGCATAAACCCACAGCAAAGGAAAGCGGTGGTGGGCAGAAGGGCCCAGTCATCTGAGGGCCTGCTTCATCTCTGCCTGGGGGGTGGGAAGAGCTTCAAGAACTTTCCACATAGAGGCCTCAGCCGCTTTGCCAGGTAGCTGGGGAAACAGCTTGTGGGCTGGTTCTGGGCGCTCTCAGGGTGGCCTAGGCTCCCCGCAGCTGGGAGAGGGTCCTCCCCAGGCACCTCACGAATCCCATACGGGGCCGACTGGGGCTGGCCCTTGAGTTGAGCCCAGAGCCAGGCTGTCTTTGGCGAAGACCAGCCAAGCGTTGCGTAGACGGCACCCAGCATGTTGCAGCCTGACCCTCCTCCTGGGTGCCAAGACCAAGAAGAACCAACAAACTTTTTTAATTAAAAAAAAATCAATGAAAAATTTATTCATAAATTTTTCATGCTGGGCTACAAGTCTATTTCGTACACTCAGGAATGTGCTGACTTTATCCAGTTAGAAGTGATCATACCAGGACCCACACACAGCTTCCATATAAGCCTAGAAAGTCTTAACATTAATTAACATAATTAAAAAGGTATTTGCATCTAGAAAAAAATATACAGAAAAACTCCTTTTGGAGTGATCTGTGCCTCAGTTTCAATGTCTGCTTGCTTCACTGACATTATCAATATATTCTGCTCACACAAGGGTTTATAAAAAGCCACAGATGACTGCCCGGGGCTGACCAGCCACGCACAAAGGGCCTCCACCCACCTGTGTCCTCAAGTGCTCCCCATTTTTGCACGAAGGGTCAGCAGCACTTCTACCCAGGGGAAGCCTCATTTAAATTTGAATAATTCAGCCTCCCTTTTATTTCTCAGGATCAAAACAACAAGGGGTGTGGGGTTGCATAGAAAATTGGAACCTCGGAGACCAGGAAGGGCGCCTTTCGGGACAGAAAGTGACGCAGAAGCCCCGCCTCCGGCCCAGGTCCCCGAGCGGCCCCTCCCCCATGACAGGATTTTTCGGATTCGAATCGGGTCCTTGAAGCTCCGGGAGACTGAAGAGGGGCAAAACAGTCCTTCAACTCACTCAGCAATTAGCACAAGAGATTCACAGTCTTATAGGTATTTTATAAAAATATAAATATGGGTACACTGTTGCCTTCACAACGCTGGATACAACGCCCTTTAAAATTGGGTTTATAACCAAGATTCAAAAAATACACCTAAAACTTGGCTTAAAATATGTTAATATTTTATATTCTGTCATAAATGTTATGACATTCAATCGTGGCAAATCCATTTACTTTTTTAAAAAAAGTGTTCAACAGACTAACTATAATAGAACTCACTAGAAAAGGTATGATCCCCTCCGCCCCGCCCCCCCACCGCCACACCCGAGCACCCATGCTGCCGAGGAGGCTCCGCAAAGCCAGCAGGTTTGGGGGATGGTGGCCTCCCCAGGAGAGGGCAGAGGGAGGCCCGGGGCTTCCAAAACTCCCTCGGAGCTGTGTGTCTGAGTGTAAGAAGGAGAGACGGGAGGGGAAAGAGGGGAGGGGGAGGGGAGAGAGAACGGAGGCAGAGGGACTAGCACGGGAGAACCATCGGGCTGGGCGGTATTTTCAGTGCAACCAAGAAACGACAGACTCAAGTTTTAGTTTTAAGACTAGGAAACAGAAATGCATCTCCCCTATAACCGCATTGACCACGCACAGTATTTTCCAAACCAAAAAAAAAAAACCAACCAACCAACCAAACAAACAAAAAAACAAATCAGGCGCACAAACTTCACCCACAAATATACACACACATGATAAATAGTTTAGAACCCCAGGATCAGCGAAGCGTCTCCACCATCGCGCGTCCGGGCCGCAGACGCCCCGCCGTGGCCCCTAGGCGACTTTGGGCTTCGGCCGCGGGTCCTGCGGGCGGCGGGGCGCCCCGAGCCCGGCGTCCCCGCCGCCCGCTTTCCACCTTCGGGAGAAAACATTCTGCCCGGAGGATCCGGTGTCTCGGGAACTCCGAACTTGCTGGTAGCGAGACTCAAATTTCAAAGGGGCTGCAGCCCGCGCCCCGCCCCCACCACCCGCACAACGCCCCCCCACCACCACGAGGCGGCGGGCGGGGCCGTGGGAAGCCCTCCGCCCGGGTCCCGTCGGCCGCGCGGGGGCGTCGACCCCTGGCAGCGGGCGCCGCGCGGCCCCCGTGGGCGCGGACGCGCGCGCCAGACTCGTCGTGGCCTCTGGGCCGGGGAGCCCGGTGCGCACCGAGGTAGTTGGCGGGAAGGTACAGCAGACGACAAGCTCGAGGCCCGCGTCCGGGTCCGGGCGGGCATCACCGGCCGCCGCCCGCGTACTTGGCCTTGGTGATGAGATAGAGCACGATGTCCTGGTGGCCGCCGAACGCGGCGATGTGCAGCGCGCTCCAGCCGTCGCGGTTGGCCAGGCGGATGTCGGCGCCGAACTTGACCAGCAGCTTCACGAGTTCCAGGTTGCCGTCGATGACCGACTGGTGCAGCGCCGTCTGGCCCTCGGGCCCGAACGAGTTCACGTTGAACTCGCAGTTGGTCATGTTCTGCAGCAGCGACTGCAGCTCCTGCGTGTTGCCCTTGCGCACGGCCTCCTGGAAGATGCGCTGCGTCTGCGGCGCCGAGCAGGTGGACAGCTCGGCCTGGCTCATGCTGCCGCCGGGCGCGGGCCGCGGGCCGCGCCGGGGCTCAGCGCGGGCGGCGGCGGCGGCGGCTGCGGCTGCGGCGCGGGCCTCTGGCTGTCTCGGGGCGCGCCTCGGCGCATGGAGGGCGCGGAGCCCCCGGGCCCCGCACGCCGCTCCTGGGCGTTCCGGGCGCTGGGGGCCGGGGGCCGCCGCCGTGAGGCCCCCGCCGCATCCAGCCGCGCCCGGGTGGGCGGGCGACGGAGGCGGGCACTGCGCTCGCGGGGGCCTGTGGGCCCGGCGGCGGCGCCGCGCGTTCCCGGTCCCGGCTTGCTGCGGCTCCCACGCTGGTACCACGCGCCTCCCCACGCGCAGCTGCTCTCGCCTGCCCGCCGCGCCGGGCCGCCTTTTACCCCCCCTTTATATTTGCATAACAATAGGGCACCCGTGACGCGCGCGCCGGCGGCCCTACGATTGGGCGGCGCCCACGTCGGGGCGGGGCGGGGGCGGGGCGTGCTTGGGCGGCAGCGCGCTTCTCCGCAGGGGGCGCTGGTCGCCGGCAGGGGGCCAGGTGGCGGTGGTTGGCTGTGGGGGGGCCTGGAGGGGTGGGGGTGGGGGAAGGTGGAGGGGGGAGTCCTTGCTCCACGCGCCCTGGGGCTCTCCGCATCTCCGCCGTCGTCCCGCCTACTCTCCCTTCGGCCACCCGGGGAATTCCAAGCTCCCTGCTCGGACAGACCCAGGCCTGATCCCCGGCCCAGCGCGGCCCCGAGGTGGACCCGAGGGCGGCCTCCCATGGTGGGTTCGTGGGCGTTTCAGACCGGGGAGGCCCAGGTAGAGACCCGAGTCTCGCTCCGCGCTCCCGGAGCGCCAGCCCTAGACCCTCCGCGTCCCTAGCACGCCGGGTGCGCGGCGACAAGACTGGTCCAGCCTGGCCTCCAGGACACAAGCTCCTGGCGAGGGCCAACTCCACAAACAGCTCGGGCGTGTGACCACTGCCACGCGGTCCTTCCCGCACGCGGGCCGCTCATCCCGCGTTTACTCCCCAGCCTGGCTGGCTTGAGGAGCCGAACTCCGCGGCGCCGCCCGGACCAAGAAGCAGGGGTCTCTACCTGAGCAAGCCCGGGGCTGCCCCCCTCCACCCTACTCTCACTCGGAAGCTCCTCCAAGGGGAGGGGTAAGGCCAGTCAGCGGGACCTCAGGGCCTGCTTCCCTCTGCTGGGTCACCTCCATTAGCACGACTAGGGATGGTAGTGGTGGGGGGGGAAGGTGAGCAGCCCCAGGTAAGGCGCCAAGGGCCGCTGGGAAAGGAAACCCAGAAATGACTCATTTCCAAACTGTAAACCCATTTTTTATTGATGCTCTAATACTGCCGCCAAATTTCCTCATTAGGATTTTACAGTTTATAGCTGGGCTGCGGTGGCTGGGAATCGGGCAGGAATGGTCTCAGAGCAGCAGGCTTGGGGCAGCTGGGGAGCCCCCTGGGAGCTTGCTCTCCCAACAGAAGCCGCTGGGAGTTCCCACCAGGCCACCAGGCCTTATCAGGGGAGACCACTCTGCTAGGCCTCGTTTCGGGATGGGCTCCCATGGGTGTCTGCCTGGTGGTCCAGGTCTGGACACGTGCGTGGGGTGCCCCCATCTTGCTGTGTGCTCTGGGGGAGTCACAGCCAAATCATAGGCAAAACTGGGTAAGGCCACCCCAGGGCTGGCTGCCTCTGGTCAGCTACCCTCAGGATTGACTGCAGCGGCCAGTTGTGGGGTCCTCCTGACGGCCGGAGCTCCCGGAGTCCCTCACTTTGGTCTCCCCGAGGCTGGCGGTCTGCCTGGTGGTCCAGCTGTTCCGCTCAGACTTGGTCCCCCCAGGAGCTCCCCACTGTGCAGTTGGGTAAGCCCAGGCTTGGCAGAGCTCTGTGCTAGGTCCAGCTGTGGTTGGGACCTGGGGGCTGCTGGTATCAGGAACCCTTCCCTTGTCCCACTCATCTTACCCGCAAGTGTCCCTGGGCCCAGTAAGGGGGCCTGGGAACAGATGCTGCTGGAGTGTGGACACCTGGAGGGCAGGGCCCTTGGTCACCTCCAGCACCCCCTTCCCAGCAACTCCCCAGTACCAGGAAAGAGGGCATAGGACCTGTCCATTGGGGCCTGTAACTCCCTCTGGACGGTGACTCTCAGACCAGGTGAGCGAGTGTGAGACCCCGTGCAGGGCTGTGACCTGCTAGGCAGGCATGTAGCCCCCTGCTTCTCCCGGGAACAGGGCCGGGTGTGGACGGCAGGGCCCTCTGAGAACACATCCTCAGCTCTGGACGGTGCCCAGGGCCGCCCCCGGAAGGCAGTGGGCTCAAAGACAGGCCCTAGCCCAGGTGGGCTCAGGTCCCCGGACCTGAAGAAGGGCATCTTGGAGACCCTGCTGTGCCAGGGTCTGGGAGAAAAGCCCTATTGACACCGCGAGGGCTTCAGGGAGGGCAGACAAAGGGGCCCTGTGAGCTCCGCGTGGGAACGTGCGGCCGCCACCACGGGGCATGAAATCGGTGGTTTGGGTGCCCCCCAGCTGGACCAGCATGGCCGTAAGAGTCCAGGCAGAGGTTGTCTCCCGCCACACCCAGGGTTCTGTGTGAGGGTCGAACAGGTGTAGCCAGGCCTGCCATTGTGGGGTTCAGGTGACGGTCACAGTGTCCCTGGGGAGCAGATGGAATTCTCCACCATGGCTGGGGGGTGGTTCGTTTCATTCTGAGCCAGTCTGCTCCACAGCTAGGAGCTGCCCCGGTTGAGGAAAGGAGAGAAGAGGGGTCCCAGGGCCCTCGCCCCTGTTTGCTGAAGGAGCAGTCCAGAAGGAGGACATTTGTTCCAAATGCCTTGGAGGGAGGGGGAGAGGCCTGCCATCGGTCAGGCCCTGCCCTGGGGCTCAGAGAAACCCCCCTCTGGTGTTTGTGGCTCTCTTGGTGGTGTCACTTCCCTGGCTGGGAGGGAGAAACCCCTGAGTTGGGATCTGTGGAGACCCACTGAACTCTGACCACGTAGCTGTGCCCCATCCTTCTCTGCATCAGCTCTGAGGATCCTGGCCCAGGGGCGCCAACCCACAGGGCCATGGAGGGGCGGAGGCTGGGGTCGCAAAGGGCCCCTTCTTCCTTTGCAGACTCAGAGCAGTGGGCGGTGGGGAAGCAGTGTGGGTAGGGGTGAGGCAGCCTGGGGAGCATTCTGGGATATGGGCCGGGAAGATCTGGGTGGGGCAGCCTGGGGAGGACCGCGAAGAAGAGGCGGCTGCCCAGAGCTGGGCCAAGGCCTGCGGCCACCTTAAAGGCACCAGGCGGGGGAGGGAGGGCAGGCGAGCAGGCGGGCAGTGGGGGCGGGGCTTCCAGCTAATTCATTAAAATGTGTCGGGGAGCGTGGGAAAGAGGAGAGTGTTTCTTCCCAGCAGCCCAGACACCTGGTAGAAGGGCCGAGAGAGGATAGAGATCAAATAACAAACACTCAGCCCTCGGCCAGAGCCAGAGCGGAGGAAGGACGCCCAGGGCAGGAACTGCGGCAGACAATCAGTGCTGGGCTCTGGCCGGGCAGGCTGCAGGGCATGGCCTGGCACTAGGACCGGAGCCCACCCTGGGGGCATGGTGCCTGACCCCCTAGCCTGGAAGGGGGTCTAAGGCATCCTGGGGCCTCAGAAGGCTCTTTGGGTGGACCCCCTGATGGCTCAGGACCCAGGGTTTGCTGTAGAGCCAGGCTAGGAGGGCAGTGAGCACGTGAGCCCCGGAGGGTCCCCGGAGGGAGACAGCCAGCCTGGGCAGCAGAGGCGGGGGGAGGCGGAGGGCAGGCTGGGTGGCACCAGCGCCGCTGTGAGGGGCACACTGAGAAAGGGCCCCACTTGGCCACCCTCTTCTCTCTCTAGAGGTACACAGGGCAGAGGGGTGCTGGGGCTGGGCCTGCCCAGAGGAACAGCGAAGAGACTTGGTCTCCCGTCTCCCCACGCTTGTCCCTTGCTCTGGCCTCTCTCTGCTGAGGGCCAGCTGCAACCGACCCCAGGGCCCTGGGTCGGAGGAGAGCTTCCAGGAAGCAGCTGGGGCTGGCAGTGGGGCCAGCACCCTGGCGGCTTCCTCCTTACCCTGCTGCAGGAGAGCAGGCTCAGGGCTGCCGCCTAGGACAGGGTGGGCGGTCTGGCTCTTGGAAGCATCATCCCAACCACAGAGGGTCCCCCGCCCCTGGTGGGGGTCTGGCTTGCCCGCTCACCTTGGCAGCCCAGCTTGACCCTCAGGCTCAGCAGTGACCAAAAGGTGGGGGAGGCCAGTTTGCAGACTTGGCCCTGACACAGAGCCCACCCAGCCTGGCCCTGGCCTCGGAAACTCTCCGTGCGTCTGTGCAGTGACCCCAGAGTTGCTGGGGTCTGAGCACCTGGTGCACAGGGGGCACTTCCAGGGAAAGAAGAGGTTGGGGGATGTGGCAGGTCGTCTGTATGGCCTTTCAGCATGACCCCCAGCCCGGGCGGGGGCAGGCCTGGCACGGCCAGTGCCCACCTGGTACCTGAGGCCATCACACCTGGGCCTGCAGGTGCTCCCTGCCCTGGGCAGAGGTGGCAGCCCCGCCCCAGCTCCCAGGCCCCCGCAGCCCAGAAGCTTCCGCCTGGGCTCCTCAGCCAAATCTGAGCTGATTTCCGCTCAAGGCAGGAAGGACAGGAAAGGGATGTGTGGGGGGGCACATTCCTGGAGGGTGAGCCAGGAGGAGGCAGCGAGGGCAAGGTGCTGGCTAGGCTCCTCTCCCTGCCCACCTGGCACCAGTGCCCATGGGCCCTCAGGGTGCCAGCCATGAGTGCCTGTGCCTCAGTTTCCCTCCGAGTGGGTGAAGAAGCAGCTGCTTCCTGCAGTTGTGGGAGAGGGTCTTGTGTGCAGGCCCGCTTCTGACTTCGGCTGCTGCCTCTTTCATGAGAGGAGGCCGCCCAGCCTCCATGTGGCGGGGAGTGGGGGGAGGACGGGGGTGGGGGCAGGAGGCCAGCAAGGGAGCCAGAGCCACAAACTCAGAGGGGCCGCCTCCCCTCCAGGCCATGGCCTTCCAGTACACAATGGATGTCTTCCTAGAGGGTGGCTGCACTGCCCCTGGCACCAGGCAGGACTGGGCCCCGGTGCCTGGGAAGCTCCCCCCACCATATTACTCCCCAGGAATCAGAGGACCCCGGAGGGCCAGCCTGGCTGGGAACTACTTGGGGGAAGGGGGGAAGGTCCTGTCCTGCTTGGCCTGGAGGCTTGGCCCTTGGCCTGAGAATGCCAGCAGAGTGGGGTAGTGGCAGGAGCGGGGGGTAGGGGCTGCTACAGCAAAGGGAGTGGACCACCAGCACGGCGGGGGGGCCTGTGCCCCCACCCCCCAGCCCACTGAGCCCGGCGCTCGGGGAGCCACTTGGGTCCCACCCTTGGGCCTTTGTGCCATTTCCTCTGCCAGGCGTGTCCTTCCCACCTTCCGCTGGCCTCATTCCTGAATGTCAGGCGGCTCTCGGCTCAGGGTCCGAGCATCCTGCCCGTGTGGAAAACCTTGATCCCCTCCACCTTGCTCCAGCTTCTGTGCGGGGCTGGAACCCTGCTGGCCTGCCGGTGGGGAGCACCGGGGTGTGTGCAGAGAGCCTGGGAGGGAGATGCAGACCAGCGGGGCCTGGGCCTGTCCTCAGGGGAGGCCGCTGACAGGACAGGGCAGGGGGCGGCAGGGCCTGGAGGCCCCATCCAGGACTTCGAGGAAATGTGTGGTGATGCGGCCCAGGTGGGAGCCCTCCCAGAAGACCTTGCCACAGCCGGTGCAGCAGTAGAAGGGGCGTGAGCCCTGCCGCCGCAGCACGCCCTCCGGGACCCCCGCCGGCTGCCGTCGGGTGCCGTTGCGCAGGACGGCGGGCGCGTGGGACTGCAGGTCAGCCGCCTCCAGCCAGCGGCAGGGCAGGTCATGGGTGCAGCTCCCAGGGGCCTCCTCCGGGGCTGAGCCTGGAGAGGGGGAAGCGCACTCACACCCCGCAGCCTTTGGGTGTCCGACCCCCATCCCACTCCTTCCGGCAGCTCCTCCCTGTGTTGCCCCATCCACCCAACCCTCTGCCTCATCTTACCTGTGGACCCTTGGCCCTCCCCGCTGGTACTGGCCGCCACCCCTCACCTAGGGCACAGGACCATCCTCTCTACTGGGCCAGGGTACAAACCCTGGCTTGGGGTGGGGCCCTGTGTCCTCAGGGAGTGGTCCCAGGGCTCACCTGCCTCCTGTAAGTCTGCGCTGGAGCTGGCCTCATCACCTGCCAATCAATCAAGGACATCAGGGATTGTCCTAAGGATGGGGCCTGGCAGCCCCAGGGCCCACAATGCGCCTTGGGGCACCCAGCCCTTCCCCCCACCCTTAGCAGAAAGGGAAAAGGGCAGGGGCTAAGGGGCTTTGGTGCCAGCCTGGGCCCCTCCCATGGGAACGCACACCTTGGAATGTTCTTGGGGCTCAAAGGTCCTTGGGAAACAAGTTCTGGGCGTGAGATTGGCCAATTAGGGCACTTGGGGTCCTGAGAACTGGCGGGTGGGGGCGGGGGGCAGACGTCCGCAGCGATGAGCAGATAAGCCCCTGCCAGGGGAGCGCGTTTCCTAACAGCCCTCAGCGGGGCGGGGGCCCAGGGGCCCTGCTGGAGCTCAGGGTGCTAGCAGAGACCCTGGGATGCGACCTCCTGACTCCGCGAGAGGGTTCCTACTCCCACTAGGAGCGCAGGGAGGTGGGGAGCTGGCCAGGCCGAGGCGGTGATGGCCGAGGGGCACTGGCCAGTGGGCGGGAGAAGGGTCCTCCCGGGTTCCGCTGACCTTCCCACTTGGCTCTAGATCAACGGCAGCGGTGGTCTGTCGGGATGAGCCCCTCACCCCAGCCCCACGGCCCTCGGGAACCCAGCAAGGCCACGACCTCCCTAGCGTGCCCTGGCCGGTCTCAGCCTCCACCTGGAGGCCCCCGAGGTACCAGGTGGCCCGCGGGAGGGCTGCGGTGGTGACCGTACGCCGGGATGGGCCGATGGCCGGAGCGCCGGAGGAGCAGAGAGGACCGGAGCCCTGCGCCAGCGCCAGCGGACGGCACTGCGCATGCTCGGGTCCTCCCCGCCCGGGCCTTGGGCCCCCGGCGGAGAGAGGACGGCTGCTGGGGCCCGACCCAGGCCATCACGACGGCTCACCTGAAGAGTGGGTGGCCCCCCACTCTGGCCCCAAACCTCAGAGGGAGGCGGGAAGAACAGGTGGGGAGGTCAGCATCCTGGAGCGGCCCCGGGCCTCAGGCTGAGCCCCCAGAGAGGGTCCCAAGACACGCTGTACCCATCCCGTCCTTGCCCTCCAATGAGGAAGGGCCCCGGGAGCCTAGGGAGCGGCAGCCAGGCTCTCTCTGGCGCCTCCTCCCTGGGGCCCTTCGCTCCAGAGGGCGGAGGTGCCAGTGATAGGTATGGCCGGGCACACGCTGGACCCTGTAGCCACTTCAAAGGCTCCCGCTGCTCTGCACCCTCTCTCGTTTCACAAACACGGAAACTGAGGCTGGGCCTCTGGCTTGGTGTTGGGGGGACCTCTGGGGTTTGCCCTCCTTGCTGTCTGTCCCTGCTAGGCCACCCTCACACGGCTTAGCAGGCGCCCAGGGTGCGGAGGTGTGCAAGTAGACGCCACGCGTGCCCGAGCGTGCGTGAGGGAACAGGTGCGTGTGTGCTGGCCCGCGAGCGTGTAGGCATCTCTGCATGAGAGGTTTGCGCAGGTGCATGGTTGCTCCCCGTGCAGGGCCTCCTGGACAGAGGGTGGGGGAGGCCACCCTAGAGGGATGCTGAGTGTTGGAGCTCCCCGGTCCCTGTGACCTTAGCTCGTTGTGTGCTGTCCTTCCCCAGCCCCTGGCCACACGTGCACTTTGGTCCTGGGAATACCTGTTGTTGGGCCACTGTCCACAGACCCCCACGGAGCCCGAGGCCAACCACGAGGGGCACACACACCTGTGCTGCTGGGGCCTTCCCGGTGGCTGCCAAGCCACACCAGCTGCTTCATCATCTCCTTGGAGACCTTCAGGTACTGGTCGCAGTTACAGGCCTGGGGACAGAGGGGTGCTGAAGTGAGGTGGGGCTCCTTCTGTCCTCCCACCCACAGGCTATGCCCCTTGCAGCTCTGGGTCTGGCTAGGGGTTTTCACAGACACAAATGACACATCCCTTCCCGTCTCCGCAAGACAGGGCACACCACCACCTGGGAGCCCTCCCTGACTACTCCGGATCCTAGTGGACCCTGGGTAGCTTCTTCTAGTTCCTGAGACCCCGTGGCACTCTGCTGTCACCTGGGCTGTTTTCCCCAAACCCCCAGGTCTTGAGGGCAAAGTGAGGCCTAGGCAGCTCTGGGCTGGCTCCACATGATGGGGGACACAGGGCCCAGCATTAAAGGGTCGGGGTAAACAGCGCTATGGCTGATCCCTCCGCTGGTCTTGGGGTGAGCCAGGCCATTTCAGTGTCCATGTTTCTTGACGGTCCCCATTGGGCACCTCATCTGTGAGGGATCAAGAAGGAAACCAGTTCTGCTTCTATTTGGGGTCCTTGTCTAGAACATGCCACCAGCCCCTGTCAGGTCAGGCCCCTGTCAGGAGTTGAGCCCAGCCCTGCTGACCTTACGGCGACCCTGGTGGAGGCGGGGGCTTCTGGGGGCCATCCTGCCCTCCCCACACAGTTGCCCCGGGCTTGCCTTCCGGTGGGTCCTGCCTGACAGGGTGAGGGACCCCAGGGCTCCCCGCGTGAGGTGGGCAGGGCCCCTGAGGGAGAGCAGGAGGGCCCAGGTCCCTAGAGACCTGGCTGGCAGGCAGGTAGGCACAGGTGCCCGTGGAGACATGCACAGCGGTCACAGCCCTTCCAGACGTCAGAGCAGGACGAAGTGGAGCCAAGAGCAGGGCCTGGGGGGTTCCCAGGCCTCAGGGGGGAGGGGGCCATGATCTGTACTCATGGGACCTCTCTCGGCCCCCTCCCGGAGGCGCCGGGCCAGTGCCCTGGATGTCATGGCTCCCAGGGGTAGGTGGTTAGGCGGCACCATGGGCCCCTGCAGCCTCAGGGTGTGCCCACGTCAGAGGCGGTGCCCCCCCACCCCCACACGCCCTTTTCCCACGGGCCTTTCGACACTGTGAGCTGGCTTTACCTGTGGCCTCATGGCCCCACATCCGGCCTCAGGAGCCGGGCCTGGGAGCGCAGCATGGGTGCGGCGGCCTCTGCTGGGAGGCCGGGGCGGGGCTGGGCCAGGGCTGATCCCAGGCAGGACCCTTCCTCCTGCCTCTCTGGGGGGCCTCCTGTCCCCCTAGCCGCCTCTGCCAACCAGAGCCTGGGCCGGCCTGTGGCCCAGGGAGTCTGTGGGGGCACAGGGGAGGCACCTGGCTTCCTGGTCATGGATCCAGGGGCCTTCCTAGGGTGGGGGGCCTGCCTGGGGAAGGAGCGGGAACTAGGGGGCAGCAGAGCCTCCGCTGCTGCCCCGGGCTGCCCACCACAGAGGCCCCCCTTCTCCCTGCACAGGCCTCCCCGGGGGTTGAAGCTGGCAGGTATGAGAGGGACGGAGCAGCGGCAAGAGGGTGGGACCCTCTTCGGTCTGCCAGCCTCCCCGGGACCCGGCCTGGTGTGCACACCTGGGCGGGGCAGCCAGCTCATGTGCTGAGTCACTGCACACAGACAAACGGCCGGTGCCATCCCCAGGACCTGGCCCCACCCTCGGGAACCACTGGGGCCGGTTTTCCCACGGCCGCTGCCCACTGTCGGGGCCCTTGCTGTCACCCCATAGGGCCCTGGAGGCCCTGCCCTCCCCCCACCCCCACCTGGAAAAGCCGGTTCTGCACGCTCACCCCCTCTGTGCCGCGGTCCCCATCTGCAGGAAGGACCAACACCGAGGGCCTCTCCATCCATCTCCTATCCACCGCGGGGCCAAGCACCCCTTGCCTGACCGCCTGCTGGCCCACCCTGCCCTTTGGGGCTCACGGCCGAGCACGTGTCTGGTCATGGGCTTGGTGCCAGTCCAGCAAAGGCCCCCCCCCAAAACCACAGAGGCAGAGCCGTTGCCCTTTCATTTCGCAGAAAGGGGGCTTCTTGAGGGGCTGAGTAACTTGCTCCCAGTCACAGGGCCCTCGGCTCGGGAGGGCTCCACACCAAGGTCCTCACTCGGACCCGAGGAGAGGGGCGTGCGGTGACCTTAGCCACGCCCACTCCTCCTTGGGGGACATACAAACCCGAGCTTTGGGATGCCCGTGGGTCTGGGCAGACAGCAGTGGGGGTCCTGGGGGAGGCCCTGGACAGGGGCTGGGTGGTGCCTGTGAGTGAGGCCAGGTCCCACGCATCCCATTCAGTCCGGGAGCCTGAGGGCAGGGTTGGCCTCCACCCCAGGAGCCCGGCTGGGTGGGAGGGGCAGGAGGGGCTGGGAAGGCTTCTGGCTTCCCTGTCCCGGGGGTCCACCTGCCTGCCTGCTTCCCACAGCGCCTACGGCTGCCTGGAGCCTACGCCAGCTCGGGGAACTCCTTCTGCCTGGGGGCGGCCGGCAGGGACTGGTCCTGGGGACTGGCGGGGCCCACGGGTGTGGAGTTAGGCAGGCCCGAACTCTCGGTCCGCCCTCTGCAGTCCCCTGCTCTCCGCTAGGGCCTGGGTTGGGGGGGAGGCCTGCTCTGGTCACTCCTCCAGGAGGCTTGCTCTCTGGGCTCTCAGGCATGTGAGGAAAGGCTACAGCAGGCACCTGGGTTAGCTGTCCACTCCTCTGAGGCCATAACTCGGCAAGGGGCAGCGGGGGGCTTTGAGAGGTCCATTCCCAGGTGTGGGAAACCATGCCCGAGAGTGGGTCTGCTCTCAGCTCCAAGCCCAGGAATCACAGCCATACCCACCCATGGGAGTGGTTGTGGCCGGCAGAGCAGAGCTGAGCAACAGGCAAGCTCACGGCACCCATCCTGAGCTCTATGTCCCTGGAAATGTCTGTGTTCCCACCCGCCCCGGGCGCCCACCCCTCCCAGATGCCCACCTGCTCTGGGCACCCACCTCCTCTGAATACTCACCCGCCCCGGGCGCACAGGCTACACATACGTGGCCCCAATGTGTGGGCCTGCGGGGGTCTGGTGTGCACAACCAGAGGACAGCTGGTCCAGAGGTACGCAGTGGAGAGGAGCCGGGAGGCAGCACTGCCCAGAGCCTGCCAGCCCCTCTCAGGGCTGCGTTCTGCTGGGTGCCTAGAGGGAGAAAGGAGGGTGGGACAGGAGCCACACCTGGGGCTCCTCAGGGCATGGGGCACGAGAGGGGGCCCACGTTCCCCAGGTTGCGGGGCAGCAGGAAGGCACCTGCCCCGGCTGGGAGCCCAGCGGGGAGGGACCCACTCTTAAGGAGGCTGTGGGGGAAGCTCCGGCCTCAACCAGCAGCCAGGCCTGTGACCTGAGCTCCCCACTGCAGGCTGACCACCTTGTCCCTGCCCAGGGGGCACCTGGCGCAGCTGGGAACTGGGCCTGGGGCCACGTTGGTATCCCGCTGTCACCGGTAGCCACTCTTCCGAGCAAGGGTTGGGTTTTAGCAACCTTGCTCCTGCCTCATGGCAAGTGCTGTCCAGGCTCGGGCTCCAGCTCCAGACGGTCCCGCCAGCGCCTGCGGCTCCCACCCCCGCCCGGTAAGGGATGGAAGGACCAGTCTGTCTGGTACGCAGACCCGGGAAGGCCATGTTCTGGGATTTTCTGACCCCACAGGCAGGGCCAAAGGGGGCTTCGGCTCAGAAGCTGTGACATGTTCTAGAGTCATGGGTCATTTCTTGGTCCTTTAGAGCAAATTAGGGAAATGGCAAAACATAAAAAAGCAGAAGAAAATCAACGTCCCCTCAACCCACCACATGGAAAAGCCAGCCCCGTTCCTGAGTTCCTGAGAAGGGCTCCCGTTCCCACCACCTTCCCAGAGCACACCTACAGGCCACCAGCATCTCAGATGCTCACGTCGGGGGTGGGGGCCCTGGAAGGGCTCAGCCACAGGACACCAGTGTCCCTGTTCCCGCGGTGGTTTCTGCCTATTTGGCCCCTGCCAGGTGCCGCCTCCTTTCACTGTCCACACTCGCTGCCTTGAGATGGGCAGGTCCTGAGGCCTTCCCAGGCTGGCTTGTCTGCCCTGACCCCCCCATCCACCCAGAGCCACCCCAACAAATGGTGCTGGGTGCATGGCCAAAGGGCTGGGATGAAAGACCCCCGGCCTGGGGTGTTGGCCTGACACCTCTCCGGACGGGGCGGGAGCACTGAGGCCTGGGTCCACTCCACACCTCGCTCTCCCACACTGTCCCGACAACACCCTGGGAGGCTGTCCACACCCCCGCCCCCCCCCCCCCCGGCTCCGAGTACAAGATGGCTGCTGGGGCTGCGACCCTCCTCCAAGATGAGCGCCTTACCCAGCTTTGCCGTGAAGACCCCACCGGCCCCTGGCCTGGGGTGTTGCCGGATCTCCACTGGAGACAGGCCAAGGGGCCGGGGGTCTGCAGAGTCGTGGACGGCCCACAGCTGAGGAGCACAGGACATCCGTGGGGGGTCATTGCCGTCCCACTGGCCGGGGGCATGTGCTGGGGGCAGAAGGGCCAGGCCCCAGGAGCCGGGGGGAGTGCGTGGCTGCAAATGCTGCACTGACCTTCTTGGGACCATTTGGAGGTTTTTGTTTTTTTAGAGATTTTATTTATTTGAGAGAGAGAGGGACCGTGAGAGAGGGAACACGAGCAGGGGCAGCGGGAGACAGAGAAGCAGGCTCACTGAGCCCAGAGCCCGACGCAGGGCTCCACCCCGGTGTCCTGGGATCTCGACCGGAGCTGAAAGCAGACGCTTCACCGACGGAGCCCCCCAGGCGCTCCTTATCGTTGGGTTTTAAAACCTTCTCCAGGGGCGCCTGGGGGGCTCTGTGGGTGAGGCGTTGGGATGCTGGGGTCCTGGGAGGGAGCCCACGCTCAGCAGGGAGCCTGCTTCTCCCTTTCCTGCCCCCTACCCGCCCCGGCTCGGGGGTGGGCGCGCTCTCTCAAATAAACAAAATCTTAAAAAACGACGACAACAACAACAGCTCTTCGCTGTGCCGCAGACTCGGT